CTGAATCTTCCTCTTTGTTCCCGACTTTTGCATTCCAGTCACCCATTATTATCAATGCATCTTGATTGCATGTTCGATCAATCTCCGATGGTAAAAGTTGGTAAAAACCTTCTATCTCTTCTTCCTTGGCTCTGGTTGTTGGTGCATATACTTGAATGATAGTGGTATTCACTGGACTTCCTTGTATGCGTATAGATTTTATCCTGTCACTGACAATATTGTACTTCAAGATGGATCTAGCAATGACTTTTTTAACTATGAAAGCAACTCCATTTTTCCTCACTTTTTCATCTCCAGAGTAATATATCATATGGTCATCCGACTTGTTTCAATTAACAGATGTAATTAACAGTAACATAACAACAGTGTTCCCTTGCTCTGTGTACACAACAGCCTCTTGGTCTAGGTATAGGTTTTACATGAAGTAAGTGCTGTGGGATTCTCATTGTTTTCAATTTTAGCCATAACTTGTTATAATCTACATTGTCAAATGTCTTTGCATAGTTAATAAAGCAAAAATAGTCATTTTTCTGATATTATTTACTTTCAGCCAGGTTCCATCTGACATCAGCATCGATATCTCTGGTGTCATGGCCTCTTCTGAATCTTTCTTGAACTGCCGGCAGTTCCCTATCTACGTACTGTTCCAGCCGTTTTTTGAATGATCTTCAGCAGTATTTTGCTTGCCTGTGATATCAATGATATTGTTCGGTAGTTTGCACGTTTAGTTGGAACTTTATTGGGAATGGGAACAAATATGGACCTCTTCAAGGTCATTATTTTGGTTCTTGTGGACTTGTTTTGATTTTCTTCAACCTCAATTTGAACTTGTACATGAATCATTGATGGTCTGACCCACTGTCCGCACCTGGCCTTGTTTTGACCGCTGATATTATGTTTCTCTAAGGATTTCCTCATTAGTATTCGGCCTCAAACCTATTTCTTAGATGGTTTCAAAATTCAGGTGCGACAGACTCAAGGTCAGATTTCTGTTTCTGTGGATTTGATTTAAACTTCTTTATCTTTAACTTGACTTGACATATGAGTAATTGATGGTCTGTTCCACAATCAGCACCTGGCCTTGTTTACACAGCTGATACTGAACTTCTCCAGTGATTCCACAGATGTAATTGATCTGATTCCTATGTATTCCATCAGGTGAAATCCATATGTATAGTCTATGTTTATGTTTCTTATAAAAGGTATTTGCAGTGAATAAATCACTGATTGTTCAGAATGCTATCATTCTATCTCCAGCCTCGTTTCTGTCACCAAGTCCATGTTTTCTGACTACTGATCCTTCTTCCCTGTTCTCAACTTTTGCATTCCAGTCACCTATTATTATGAATGCGTCTTGATTGCATGTTCAATCAATTTCTGATTACAAACCTTGGTAGAAATCTTCCATTTTGTCCTCTTTGGATCTGGTTGTTGGTATATATGTTTGAATGATAGTGGTATTCCTTGTATGCGTCTAGATAAGAAAATTATCCAAAAATGACTGGAACAGCACATTAACAGAGAACTGTCAGCTGTTCAGGCTGGTTTTATAAGAGGCTGTGGTACAAAGGATTAAAATTTTTAATTTATATACATTGTGTTCATACTTTCATCCACATTGTGTTTCATACAGTCATTCTCATACATTGTATTTTACAAAAGGTTTAGTTTTAAAAACAAAGACGACTAAGAGGAAAAAAAGCCCACCCCGTTTTACTTGCTGCTGAGTACCGTCATTTTAATTGGCATATAAATCTTCTATCACAGCAGCTTGGGCCTCCCAGGACCTTGCAGGGGTCAGACATTGAAGGCTGACTGAGCAGCTGCTGTAGCTCTTTCAAAGCTTCAGTCTCATCAGCCCATACGGATTTACATCTTTTTTCTCACTGAGTTTCTACAATGGCTGCAAGGCAACCCATAAGTGTGGAATACTTGTTCTAAAAGCTAAACTGACCAATATGTTTGTGTGCTCCTTTCTTATTTCAGGGCACCTGACACTCTCATATTTTTACTTCACTTTTAGAGGTTATCTCTCTACATCCTTTTCTTCAATTTGTTTCCCAGCCCGGTTTCTTTGGGATGTTTCCTTTCTAGAGTCCAAACCTGCCCCTGCCCCTTCATCTGGAGGTTTCCTGAGCTCCTTCCTTGAAGGTCACCCCCCTCACCGCCGTCTGGAGGTTACTGCACTCCTCCTTAGAGGTTCACCCCCCCTCGTTGTCTTTGGGTTTACTGCACTCTTTCCTCGAGCTCAACATTTCCTGGAGGTTTCTTGCCCTTCTCTACTTTGGCTTCATCTCTGGCTGCTTCCCTCATGGGAACACTGGGTCCCACATTGGGTCCCAATTAGCAGTTGATATGCAAGTATAACCCCCTGACTCAGAGCTGACTTGATTATTAACCCTAACTCTAAGCCATAAGAGGTCACAAAACACAGATGGGGACTCTGCACTCGTTTGTGCCCAAGGCATGCCTCATTCACACACACACACACCCCTCAGGGCGCCCCAACCCACCAAGGAAGTACTTACCTCCACGCTGTTGCTTTCGCCTGGATTATCCCGACCACCAGGGGTGTATTTGCTGCCCCACAGGTTTCCTCACCTTGCTCGGTGCACAGTTACCTGGTTGCCAGAGGCGTTGACTTTAGGCTTTCGGCAGATTCCAGCTTCATTAGCCTCTTTCGGGAGGCTTCAACCACTGTCACTGGAGGGCTGTTGCAACTAAAGTCAGCAGGACACAGCTCCCTCAGGGAAGAACCATAAAGACCCTCCCCAAGGTGAATGGGCAATCGCAGATCCACCAAACTGTTAGAAAAATGGCTGGTGTCCCAACAGAAACACGGCTGGACAAACGGTCTCAGCAAGGCATTTCACTTCCTCAGAAGGTTGCTCGGGCAGACCTGAGTTTGACCAACAAGCACAGCTTGGGGCAGTGCTCTTGAGTTTTAACCCCTGGCGCAAACGCTCAGGCTGTGGTCTCGCCCCACTGGTCAGGGGTTTCCACCTCACAGCCTGGATTCTACCTGGGTTGCTGATTTTAACTGTGCTTGAAAGGAGGGGAGGACAGCTTAAGGATGTTCGGGATGTCTTTGTTTCAGAGGATGATGGGGCACCAGGAACTGGCCTTGGCTGGTTCACAAGGAGATACAAGGGACAAGAGAGTTTCTCTTAGTAATTTTCAGAGAGAGTTCTTGCTTCAGCTTTAACTCCATCTCGGAACTTTTGAAGAGAAGACACACATACATTTTTCTTTCTTACACTTGGCGTTAGAGACTTACCCTGAAAAGGTTTTCTGACACCGACGACAGTGACTGAGCGGATTCTGGCTCACAGCGACCCTCAGACAGCGTGGAACTGCCCCGAGGGCTTCCAAGCCTGCAGGTCTTCGCAGAAACAGCTTCCCTCATCCCCCCTCCCCCCAGAGTTTGAACCCTTCTCTTGTGGGCTCTGTTGGCCTAGTGGTAAGAAGCTGCACTGACACCCAAAGGCAAGCGGTGTGAGCCCACCAGCGGCTCTGTGAGAGAAAGATGGGCACTCTCCCGCGTGATTTATTGTCTCTGAAAGCCCACCCGAGGGTCAGCTGGGAGTTGGTTCTGAATTGATGGCACACGCATCTTTTGGTTAGAGACCAAGCACTTTAAGCACCACTCCACCAGACATGATGTCGTCCTCTGGAGACAGCAGCATTAAGCCCCGCACTCTGAGACACTGAGCTGTGCCTTTCTTTCCGGGTGCCTTGTTCTGTTTTCTGGATCTCAGACGCTGTCCTTGATGGGGTGGTATTAATAAGTTCAGAATTCTCTATAAAACTATAGTTATGTAGTTATAAAACGGACATCAGTTTTTTTCAGCCTGCAAAACTAGTTACTTGGCCTCAGAATTCTGTTTCCTTTCTGTAGTCATGTAGTTTAATCTGTTTACCAGGAGAGGAAACACATCTCTCCTAGGTCTCTCTGAGGCTGTTTGTCCCATCATATGTAACCTGTGTCTTAATCTGTTGTATCTTACTAGGAAGGGGACTGTGCCCTTCCCGAACTACTGGTACTTAAATGTGAACTGTTCTTTTCAGATATAGAAATTCTTTGATTTTACTAACAAAAGTTTATTATTGTTAAGTAAGTTGGTGTCTCACCCTGGTATACAAGCCTGGTGACATCTCCCAGTCGGGGAGGCAGTCTTTGAGGCCAAGCCCCTGTCCTCCACAGATCTGTAATAAAGTGCTTGTGGATATTGCAGTTCGTTTGTCTTATTAGCGATTGACTCCGAAAAGAACCCCTTGTGTTCACTAACATCCTGATTGGGGTTACCCAAGGCTGCCTCCATTCTGGTTTTCAGAGAACTCGATAAAATAGCTACCCACTGTACCCCCGCGGGGAAGGAGGGACAGCAGACCCTGACTAGGACACAATGTGTGAGGAAGAAAAGGAATGACAACCCCCCAGCAGGAAAGACATGGACGCTGTAGCCCAAAGTACATAAAACTTTAATGAGTTAACCTTACAAAAGACGATGGCATCAAAACATGAGACGCAGCTGGTACAAAACAGGTCCTACGTGGTGAGGACTACGTGTAGGGACAATGGGCGAGACACAACCGATGGGGCGAGGTGACCAGAGCACATGGGGGGCTGCTGGCCCACGGGCCACAGGGGGCAAAGCACACTGCAGATGGGGGGCCAGGGCCAGCGCGCTCCCAGATGCTGCGTGTCTGGGCACTGGACTAGCGGATGCGGTGGGCAAGCTACTGTGTTTCCCAGAAGGGCACATGCGCCAGGTAACGTCCACTCCCCGTTTATTGCCGTTGAATGTGGGTTCACTGTCCCGCCGTGGGGCGCTCTGGAGTAAGCACAGTGCGAGTGGCAGGTGGCCTTGGCACACGGCAGACACCGAAAGGTATGCCACTGGGTCACAGGGGCGAGTCTGCGGGGGCTCTGTGGGGACATGAGGGTGAGGCCGGAGCCCAGGCGCAGGGGGGCCTCCTGCGGCCAGCCGGCACAGCCATCAGGATGCCAGGTTGCTCTGTGACAGGGACCGGGACATCTCCGTGTTCACAAAGTAGGTCTTCAGCTCCCCTTTGCCCTTGACGTTGATGATGCCACGGCACGCGCAGGCGTAGCCCAGCGTCTGCAGGACCAGGCTCGTCTCCTCCGTCACCTGAAAGCCACGTGGGGAAGCAGAGACACAGTGTGTGTGTGTGTGTGTGTGTGTGTGTGTGTGTGTGTGTGTGTGTGTGTGTGTGTCGGTGTGGGTCTCCAGACGTGTGTCCCCCAGGCTGGCCCTGATTCTCCTCCGCTTTGTGGTCTGAGCTGCCAGTCCTGTCCCGCCTGCTGTAGACCCCCAAATGTGATTAAACCACCGTGCCCCTAAATTAAAGAACACCACTCAAACCAGCCTCTGTCCAGTCATCTCTGACCCGAGGGAGCTGCGTGTCTGAGAGCTGTACCCCACAAGGGTGTCCGGATGACTTGGACCCTAGGGGAACCATGTATCTGAGGAGAGCTGTGACCACAGGGGTGTCCAGTTAACTCTGAGGAGTGCTGTACCCCCATGGGGTGTCCATTCGACTCTGACTCTTGGGGACCCATGTGTCTGAGGATAGCTGTACCCCACAGGGGTGTCCAGTCAACTCTGACCCTAGGGAACCATGTATCTGAGGAGAGCTGTGACCACAGGGGTGTCCATTTGACTCTGACCCTTGGGGACCTGCATGTCCGAGGAGAGCTGTACCCCACAGGGGCATCCAGTCGACTCTGACACTAGGGAACCAACTGTTTGAGGAGAGCCATACCCCACAGGGGTGTCCAGTTGACTCTGACCCTTGAGGACCCACGTGTCCTAGGACAGCTGTGCCCCACAGGGGTGTCCATTCGACTCTGACCCTTGGGGACCTCCATGTCCGAGGAGAGCTGTACCCCACAGGGTGCCAACCGCTGGCTTTTCAGAAAAAGATGTCCAGGCCTTTCTTCCGAGCAGCCTTGGGGAGATGTGAACGCCCAGCCTTCTCACCGGCAGCGGGCACACGCACAGCACCCCTCACCCCAGGAGAAGCCGTGTACTGCTCCACTGAAGCTGGAGGTCAGCTCTGCCAGGGTCGAGCAGGACGAAGCCGGATGAAGAGGTGAAGGGCCAGGTGGGAGGACTGGGGCCACTGGGCAGCCCGCTGGCAGGCCTGAGGGCTCTGGGCACCAGAAAGGACCGGAAGATGGTGGAGACATGCACAAGGCTCAGGTCGCCCACACGCACTTAGGGAGGGAGGCCTGGCGAGTTGCTCTGCGAAGTCACAGCTTTGCACACACTACACAGCTCAGCCGGACTGTGCACACGTGGGTCACTGTGAGATGCGTTAGAACCGAGTCTGAAGTTAGTTGCTGGTGAGGAGGTCCCTGCTGAGAGTTATCACTGCGGGTCATCCCGGAGGCCTGCAGCTCTGGCCAGAGAACCGTCCACACCACACCTGTGGGGGAGGCAGCAGGCCTCCCTGGACACCAGCAGGTCATCTGTCTGGGGTGTTGAGGGCTCTCAGAGTGGTCTTGGGGAGCCTCAGGGTTCCAAACCAGCATGGATGGAGCCTGAGTTTGTAACTAATAATTCCAGAAAGAACCTGAGTTCATAACCAATATTTAAACCCCGAGATTCTCCATTACACCTTCTTCCCACGCTGAAGCTGGGGATGCTCAGTGTGGGGCTAGTCTATGTACCCCGACCACGGAGACATGATGGGACACCTAGCAGACTGGACGGGGACCTAGGGATGTGACAGGGCATTAAGAGGACGTGATGATGCATTTAACAGATATGACAGGTTATCTGACGGACATGACGGGGCATCTAGTGGGTGTGACATGATGTGGGATCTAGTGACGTGACAAAGCATCTAGTGGCCTTGAGTCCCTTGGACCCCGGCAGAGCAGAGGTTGTGAGGATGAGGTGGATGGGAAGGGCTCTGCTGTGTTGTATGCAGGTCACTACCAAGTTAGAGCCAACCCACAGCATCTAAGGACACCACCACCACCACCACCACCACCACCACCATCAGAGTTAGTGGCATGCTCGTCTGCGGTCTAAGAGCGGCGCAGCGGACAAAGGGGATTTGGTGGTGGAGGCAGGTGTCTCAGCGTCTACCCAGGAACCACAGATCGGAGCCTGGACCTGTCCTGTGCCATCTACCGTGTCCACCGCACTCAAGCCCACCGTGACGGTCCCTGTGCCATCCTCACCATGCCCACCACACTCAAGCCTACTGTGACGGTCCCTGTGCCAACCATCTCACTGAGGGCCTGCCTCTCTTTCTCTGACCCTCCACCCTTCCCAGCACTCATACCTGTATTTTATCCAGGACCCCAGTGCTGTCCATGCGGCTGGCCACGTTGACGGTGTTGCCCCAGATATCATACTGTGGCTTTTGGGCGCCGATGACACCGGCAATAACTGGGCCATGGTTGATGCCTGCAACACACAGGGGGGTGGGTGGGGTGAACTGGTAGCCACCATTCATGTCTACAGGTTTAATTTACTTGAGTATTTACTAATTTATCAATTAAATGTCTTTTTACAACAAGCTGTTGTGGTTGTTCTTGAGAATAGACACAGAGACTACACTGGTTCAATGATTTCTCACGCCCTGTTCAGCCACACTGATGAAGCTCACTTAGAACTGTTCTCTTTCCTGGATTGTCCCCCTATTAATGTAAATTCAGTCCCCTTAAACTTTCTATCTAACCTTCCCGACGACTTCTCAGTTTGACCCTGGGATCATCAATATCCTCCCAGATATTACTGATCACCGCACAGAAGTTTAAGACACTCGTCTTGGGTCACTATCTTACAAACAACAGTGCTGCGTTTAATGCACCTTCATTCCTGTAGGAGAGGCTATTCCTTGGAGAGGAACATCATCTCAAAGATGCTACAGCGTTCCACGGTCGCCGCTTCACCCTCCTGCTGGTCCATGAGCCATGTCCACAGACCCAGCTGTCTCTACTCCGTAATCACACAGTCGGCACGTGGCTGACACACGCCTGCTGTTACGCTTTGGTGACCTTGGAGTCGGGGGTGACACCACCAACACAGAGGCCAGGGCTCTGAATCCACCAGGTGCTCTAAGCAAGAACCATGGGCATCTCCTCCTGTGCACTTTACAGCCTCGGAAAACCTGCGGGATGGCCAGCTGTGAGATGGCGTGAACTGACGGCAATGAGCCGAGTTAGAGTGATGTAACAGCAGGCAAGGGACGGCCGTTCTTTTCTGAGTTCCGGATGTGGTGGTGGTTGTAGGTCTGACTTACAGTGACCCGAATGATAGAAGAATTGAGGCCTTTGAGTTACAGAAGAGCACTAACTATCCCATGAACTGCCTAAAGAATAAACAGACACGTCCTGGAGAAGGTGCAGCCAGCGAGCTCCTTGGAGGCAGAGAAGACAAAGCTTCGTCTCACACGCTGTGGGCATGTTGCTAGGAGAGGCTGTTCCTTGGAGAGGCTGTTCTTGGAGAGGCTGTTCCTTGGAGAGGGGCATCATGCTCGGGAAGGTGGAGGGTCGGGGAAGGAGAGGAAGACCCCCAACCAAGTGGATTGACACAGTGACTGCTGCAACGGGCGGGAGCTTATCGGAGGCTGTGAGGACGGCACAGGACATGACGGGCTTCAGATCTGCTCTTCACAGGGTCGCTGTGCGTTGTGCTCAACTCGATGGCACCTAACAGCAACAACAACAGTGCACTGCTAAGACAAAGACAAGTGGTTCAAACCCACCAGCTGCTCTGCAGGAGAAAGATGGGTAATCTCCTCTGGTGCAATTTACAGACTCGGCAAAGCCACCGGAGGGTCAGCTTGCGGGTCGGTTCTGACCCCACAGCCGTGAGCTGAACTGATGCACAAGAGACACGCTGCCTGTCCAGTGCGGTCTCCACGCGACCGTGCTGTTTGCACCCACTGCTGCGGCCACTGCGCCAACCATCTCATCAAAGGCCTCGGTCTCTTTTGTGGCCTTCTACTCTGGCGTCTCCAGGACTGTCCCTCCTGGTAACAAGTCTGAAGTATGTGAGGTGACGTCGCATCGCTCCTCCTCCGGAGGCCACTCAACATCTTCTAAGAGATGATTTTTTTCTGGGGCTCGACGCAGAATCAATATCCTTCAGCAAGTGAAAGTGCCCATTCTTTTTTTTTTTAATTTTTT